TGCAACCATCAAGGATGCACAGCCAGCTCAGAAGTTGGGAAATTCTGGCCTCTTCCTTCAGTCACCAACCTGGCAGATGTCTGGATTCACATTATCACTGCGTGTGAGTGCATTGCTTTTCCAGCAGGCACTTGCCCCTCTGATGTACAGGATGATGTGCATCTATCTGATGTGCATGCCACCACTCACTCCTTCATGTTTACATCCTTGGCTTCTTTGCAGAATGTTTTTCACACATGTCATTATTCTCTCTGGGTTTTCTGTTGTATTCGTAGCTGAGTTTGAGAGACTGCCCTTCTCAGTACACCCCACTCCAGGTAATATCACTCTTGCATTTTAAGCTGTAAAGCCCAGAGGTCAAAATACCAGCTATGGGAGCCCAAGGGCAGACGCTGACAGCATCATCATTGGTGATCTCTGTGCTGTGCATATTCTGACCACAGCCCCTATACTTTAATTCCTGGTACCCCTCTAAGCCCAATGATACGGCCTCCACCTCAGTTCCTTCAAAATGGTGGCCAAATAATTAACATCAAGAAAGGAATATAGCAACAAAAGGAAACAACATGTGTCATCCTTTGGAAGGAACGTCAAGAGGACTGAAACCTTTAAACCTGCAAAATGGATGCAGGGCTGGGGAAGCTGCTCCTGAGATGACTGCAAAGCTTAGGAGAGCTGGGTCAGCCCTAAACAGTGGCTTCAAAGTCACTGGCACCCTTGTACCTATGAGAACTTAGACTGCTCCTTCACCTTATCTTCTGTCCTTCTTTACTCAACTTTAAAGCCTCCTAAATACAAACTTCCATTCTGATTCCTTCCTCTGACCCTACTTCCTCTTCCTGCTCCATCCTTGAATTGTAGATAATATTTCTGGTTCTGCCCACTCCCTGTTTGCCCTGCCTTTTCCTGCTCTTTCTTTATCTCCCAGCTACATTTCAAGTGTTTCCTCGACAGCTCCAGCTCTTTGTGTTTCTGTTAGGCCATCTCTTTCAGCATCAGCAATGTGCTGTCACTGAGGCCCTGGAAGAGACAGTGTTATCCTCAGTCACATTGCATCCCAGCTCTTCTCTGAGTAGCAGGTACCATGGGAAAATCAAAGAATCACAGAACTGTAGGGGTTGGAAGGGACTTCTGGAGATCATCTAATCTAATCTTCCTGCTCAAGCAAGTCCTATAAAGTAGATTGTGTAAGGAAGGGTCCAGGCAGGTTTTGAGCATCTCCAAAGAGAAAGGATACTCCACAATCTCTCTGGACAGCCTGTTCCAGTGTTCTGTAACCCACAACGTGAAGACATTTTCTTCATGTTTGTATAGAACTTCCTATGTTTCAGTCTGTGCAAGTTGTCCCTTGTTCTGTTGTGGGGCATCACTAAAAACAGCCTGGCCCCATCCACTTGACTCCCACCCATTAGATATTTATAAACACTGATAATCGTAGAACCATAGAATCATAGAATGGCCTGGTTTGAAAAGGACCTCAAAATCATCTATTTTAAGCCCCCCTGCTATGTGCAGAGTTGCCAACCAGCAGACCAGGCTGCCCAGAGCCACATCCAGCCTGGCCTTGAATGCCTGCAGGGACGGGGCTTCCACAACCTCCTTGTACTGGGGGCTCCAGACCTGGACACAGTACTCCAGATGGGGCCCCATAAGAGCTGAGTAGAGGGAGACAATCACCTCCCTCTCCCTGCTGGCCACCTCTTTTTTCATGCAGCCCAGAACACAGCTGGCCTTCCGGGCTGCAGTCACACACTGCTGGCTCATGTCCAGCTTCTCGTCTCCCAGGACCCCCAAGTCCTTCTCTGCAGGGCTGCTCTCAAGGGGTTCTTCACCCAGTCTGCATAAACACCTGGGATAAGATCTCCCCTCTATTCTGCTGCACTCAGATTCATTGCACCATGGTTTAGACAGCCACCAGCAGGCTAGCCAATATGCCAATATGAGTAGCTGCAAGAAACTGATATCTAGCTATAGATACAATCTTTTTATCCTCAGCTTTACTATGAAGGTCCCAACACCCGATGCACTAGAAATTTCATTGTAAAGGAGGGATCTCTACCACCTCCTACAAAATCCTGTTTTGTATCTGGAAGCATGTGGTAATGCTAGGCAGAACCTTGGACTGCATCTCTATGATGTTCGCTCACATGTAGTATGTCACTCATGAAAGGAATCTGTAAAGCAAAAAGACATGAAAAGGAAATCATTTCAGGCTCAACTAACTCATCCTGGTGTCACCAAATGGATCTGAGTCAACCTAATGGCACTAGTACAAACCTCCGCTGTAGATGTGTTCAGCTGTTGCATGCAGAGTTTGGTTAATAAATACTTTAAACCAAAGCTGCATCTGCTGCACTAAGCTGGCTAGACACTAGCAGACACTAGCAGAGGACAACCACCACATCTCTTGGTTTAGGGAGGGCTCAGAAAGCTCCTACTTTCTTGGTCACTTTTTGGAGACTCAGATGATAACCTGCAAGAATCATGATTGCCTGTCCAGGCATTCTCTGGGGAAACCAGCCCTTCAGCCAGGCTGCAACGCAGCTGTGACAAATAGGCATCAAGCTATGGTCCTCTGACATTCAGAAAACAAGTCACCCCAGACTTGTGTGCTTGCTTGTTATATGAACTCCCACACTATGTCCAGCCATTGACAAAGTCTGGGCTTGAAGCTAGGCTGGCTGCCCTGCAGTGACTGCTCTCTTGCCACCAGAGCTCTGACAGGGATGCAGGACAAGTCCCCGGAGCAGAGACTGTCATTTATCACCCTGCCAAATCCCTTGTGGGGATTGATCTGAAATTGAAGATGGTTTTGCTTGCATTCTGGTCACTTCCTGAGAAAGCTGGGCTTTGGATCAATGTGGAATGCGTCACTGAATGGTCTATTATTCACCAAGTGCAATGTGCACTGGGAGACAGAGCAGCCCTCAGTAAAGATTCAATTCTGCCTCTGAGGATCAAAGCAGGAGTAAACCAAAGGAACTACTCAGCTCCTTCACATGACACTGAAATGTGTGGTCTCTTGTTTCAGGGTGATTCTTCAAGGCAATTTTAAGTTGTGCATTACTCCCTATTAAATTGCCACCTACACAGCTGCATCCCTTGAGCATGGCATAGAGATACCTCTGACTTAAGCTGGTCATGCCTTTTGCCACCATTCCCAGTCCATACCACAGGCTTGAGAAGCACAGGGATGCTCAAAATTCTACAGGTGCTTTCCCTCCACTGCTTCCATGCCCATAGTGCTGGGCTGGCTGTCTCAAGGGCACTCTATGAGGGCACACTAAGTGGAAAACAACATGACAACCCCATAGGGATGAGCAGTGTAGGGCACATGCAGGCCTAACTCCCAACCCCAGCTGAGGAAGAATTCCTTGAGCAGGGGAAGCAAGCGAGTGCTCTAGCTCACTGCCAAAACCCTAACATGGACAGGCACCACCAGCAGACTTTTGCCTGAATTTTATTTCTTTTATTTTTTACATTATGGGAGAATTTATTGCAGGTTATTGAAGGCATTCAGCTGGAGGGAATCCCAGCTTTGGGAGCTGTTTTCATAATGTGTTTCTGCAGTAATCTCTTTCCCAAGAAATCACAGTGGTCAGCAATACCTTGTGCTTGAGTTTTGACCTCTTCCTGAGGGGCTTTTCACGTGTCTTGATGTAGTTGTGCAGTTTTTAGGTGTTGTTCTGTGATTTATTTGATGAACATGTCCCTTCCTTAAGTCTCCACCACCCTTTGTTTAGCATGCAACTCCCCTTTCCAGCCCCCTAAAAGTGAGCAACAAGGATGGGTATTCAAGGGGAGGAGGCAGAGCTGGGAGCAGGCTGAGAGGATGGGAATTCAGAGTGAGAAGTGGGCAAAAGCCACAGAGTGGAAAATGGTGGTGAGACAGGGCCAGAGTGGGGAGTCAGTACTCCAAGAAACCAGCAAAACTGGGTCAGTTCCTGGAGCTACTCCTGGTGAAGAAATGGGAAGCTCCCACTAAGCGCCTGCAGCCTCTGCAGAGAGGGCATTGGGGAAAAAAAAGCATCTGCTGACAGAGGAGCTAACAGGAAGGGCTGAAGCTCTAGCTGGAAGCAGCCAAGGTTTGTGTAAGCCATTTCACTGCACCAATGAGCATGTGAGTCTGTAATGTCAGCATAGTGAGAATCTGCCACCTCTCCAGCAACATTTCTTCAGCCTTCCAGCCCCACGGTCTCCTTACACAGCAGGTGAGAGCGGATTGGTCTCCAGAGCCAGTGATCAGTCACCAAAAGCAGCAGGGCTAAGGGACAGCCTCCTCCCACCCCTCAGCTCAGTGACAGAAAGAGGTGCTATCAGCCTCCCACAGACCCGGCTGGGGCAGCCCTCTCCACTATACTACGATGCCACAGCTGCCCTCTGGAGGTGCCACTGGCACTGCTGTAGTCTCCAGTACCCCTTCCTTGCCCACCCTAGCACCGATCAGCACTGGAGCTCACGAAGTGGGGGAGTTGCAGGAGACGAGGATGCTTAATTACAGTGCAGCCCTGGAAACCAGCAACAGCAGCAGCAGCACTATGGCCAGGAGGGGAGGCAGCAGGGCTGTAAATAGAAATTGCGGAGGCAGCCGCGGGGAACAGAGAGAGGGAGGCTTCTGCTCCTGCATCTCTCTGTCTCTCCAGCTTCACTCACCTCTCACCGCCACCCTGGCTCTCAGCACAAACCCGTGTGTGACAAGCAGCCCCAGAAAGTGGCTGGGTGGTAGCAGTTCTGCCACAAAAGCAGGGCTGAGAAGTGGGTGTGCAGAGTCCCCACAGCTTCCTGCAGCAGGACCAGCTCCTGGGGAAAGCTAGAAGGAAGGCTGTGAGACCTTTTTGGTCATGAGGAAGCCAAGTGAGATGAATGCAGAACTAAGACACTCTTGCTTTTGGAGGAAGGCACAGGACAGCAGACGCCTGAGCTCCAGTTCCACTGGTGTGAAATCCCTCTCTTCCCACCCCTGACATCTCTGTTGCAGCCTCTTCCACAGCAGCAAGAGCTTTGCTTGCAGTATTTTGCAAAGGTTTATTTAAAAATGTTGAAACTAACATCCCACAAGAATTGAGTATTTCACCACAAGAAGAAGAGAAATCCTACAAAAATATATATCACAGCGCACAAGGGCAGAGGAGGGGGAGCGAGACCGAGCGGAAAGCAGGAGGAAGAGCAAAGGGAGGGTGGGAGCTGCAGCAGAACGAGACCAAATGGTAGAGAGAGAACGAGAGCAGAGTGGGAGAGCAAAACAGCAGGAGGGGAGCAGAACCTGGAGGGAGACTCTGGTACAGGACAGGAGCAGGGAAACAGTGGGAGGGGGAAAACAACAGGAAAGGAGGAACAGATTGCTGACAGCTGGTGAAAGAAGGGCCCCCCTCCATTGTCTTGCCAAGGTAGGGCTAGAATACAGTGAGACATAGCCGGGGTATGGTTGGTTAGCTGGAGTTTGGCTCAGGGCTTTTGTACTGCAGGACTTGACTATAATGCTGTGCCATAGGAGTGGTTTTTCAGAGCGAAAAGCCAAAACCACAGTTTTACTCAGACCGATCTGAAGATGATGGTGTTTTCATATGAGAATGTGTGGGAGGTGAGCAAACAGCTCCTTTCCAAGCAATTTTCCTTAGCATGAAAGGGTGTGAAGGGCCAGATTTACAAGGGCACTTCGGTGCCGCAGAGGAAGAGGTAGATAGCCCTCTCTGAAGCTGTGGGACGCCGGGCTGGCTGTGTCGCCGTAAGTCACACTGGAGGAGAGCTGTGGAAGCACATGGCTGAGCTCTGTTCCCTTGTCAACCAGTCATCACCAACCAGATGGGAAAGCTCAGGCAGGATTTGGCCTAGTGGTCACCTCACTCTGTTGGGTGAAGAGAGTCGGGGTCTTGCTCCAACACAACACAGGGCAGGGGGGAAGGATTGTGCCCTGAGCCTTTCTTCCTTACCCCAGAAGGAAGACAAGGCCTCTTGTTTGCAAGAGCAAGTCCCTTGAGGAGTTCCACAGGGACGCGGCTGCCCAGCCCACCCAGACATTTCCATCTAAAGGACCAGAAATATCAGACAGGTCCAGCCCAACTCAACAAATTTTTTCAGTAGTTTTTCCCACACACATTTCTCTCTGTGAAATTTCCACTGGGCAAAATTCAACCCAGATCTTTTTCCTCCGGTCACCCGGAAGACAGGGAAACCTGTCAGATTGTGACTGAAAGGGTGCTGGCCTCTGCTTGGTGGTGTCAACTGGTCCATGTGTGCGCGCATCTCACAGAATATTACCTGGACCAAGTGAGGTGGCAGGCTCCATTCTGCACAGGGGAAGGTGGTTTGTAAGGCTCCAGCCATGGGGAAAACAGATGCAGTGAGATTATTTATTGACTGGAAGAAGCTTATGTGTCCGAACACATTTTGAATGTTTTGAATTTTGGAAGGACAGTGAAGGTTTTTCCCATATTTAACCTGTTTCACATGAGTGAATGACCATGATAAAAACATGTTTGGCTAGAATAGTTGGTGTTGGAAAAGATGTTCAGCGTTTCCAAGCTTCTGTTATTTTAAGAGCTTTCTTCACAGCATTTCCCTGCTTCCATCTTACCACAATGTCCATGGAAGGTTTCATTCCTTGGAGATACTTTAAATAGGAACAAAGACACATTAAAGGAAAACAAAACAAAACACTGAAATCTGATGTGTTTGCAGAGTTTACAAAGCATGTCCAGCAGAGCACAGGGCTTTCCTGCAGCAAGTGTTGGAAAAGGTTTTCACTACCCCTTCTGCAGTGCCCTGCCACTTTCTCACAGGGCTTCTCTTGAACACAGCATGTGGAAAGTCCAAGGACAGCCCTTGAAGTGGTAGAGTCTAAACTCTGGCCTTGTTTCAATGAGCGCTATTGATCAAAGAGCAATCTAATTAGCCCGGTCTGGAGGATTACTTAAACAAGTTGAAGGCATTATATTGTAAACTGCCAGGAATAACTGATGCAGCCCTTTGCAGGCTGCGTGCAGACGTCCCTCTCCAGCTCTGTTCATGCCAGAGCGAGGGGGAACAGCCCTGACCTGCACTCAGGGGTGGTGGGAGCAGGGCAGCGGGCAGGAAGAGCCAGGGGCTCCCTTGTTTGTCTGTCCGCAACTTGAAATGTCCACTAAAGCCTCGAGAGGGGCCTCAGTGAAGAAAAAGCTCAGTAATAGATTGGTTTACAGTGAAGCAATAATATCCACTGCTGAGAGTGGAGACTCAGCCTGTGCTTAGATTAGAGACCTCCAGAGTCCTTTTCCACCTACATCTTTCATCCATTCTGTGCTTCTAATAAGCCGATAACTTTATTTGACCTGTCATTTTCTCCAAATCTCTACTGTTTTCCATGAAGCTTATTGTAAGTTACCCTCTCATTTAAATGTCCTTCACAGTGAGCCAGGTGGGACCTGGGATCACTAGTCGTTCAGCTGGGTAAATGGGCAGAACCAGACCCTGTAGGAAACTCCCTGTGCTTTGTCCTGTCAAGAATATGCTCTTACTACAGAGATAAAGGGGGAAAGGCCATTTCCTATTTTTGGAGATAAAAGATAATTTTTTGTCAGAGACCTTGTGCCGTACACTACAGCCTTAAAATGGTGGCCGAGTTCCTGTCTCTGGACCCATCAGTCCATTAGGTCTTGGGGCAACCTTACCTAAATTTGTATCATTCTGCAGTTCAGTGGCTGCTATGTTAGTCTGCGAATTTATTTGAAGGTATCCACAAAAGCCAAGGGGGGGGAACAACTGTTGCTAACAATGTGTGGTCAGGGAAGTTGGCATCCCGTGTCTGGCGGCACATAGGTACCCCTCTCTCATGCCCTTGGCGAGCATTGCCTCAGGGCTCTCCCATCACAAGGCATTCCAAAAGAGACCTCCCAATAGCGCATGTCAACCCCCAAAGCTCTCTAAATCACTCTTTTCCATCCCAAGCAAATAGAGTCATCTCTGCTGCTCATTGCCTGCAGCCCGAGTGTCAAAAAGCAATTCCCTACCACAGCCCAGCAAAGCTCACACTCCTCGTACGCAGCTGTATCTGCTTGCTGCATTTTCGCTGCTTCAGCAGGATCTCAATGGACAGGACTCTTGCTAAATGCCCAGAAGGCTTCAACTCTGATTTTCTGATGAACATCACCACAGAGTAGAGATAAAACCTTGATGAAGGAGACTGAGGGGGCAGAACGGAGCAGCAAGGAGACTTCCAAGGGATCTGAACATTTGGAAAACTAAAGGAACTTTTTCCAACCTTAACTGGCAAGAGAAAAGGGGAGAAGGAACTGAGAGAAAAAAATAGAAACACTGGGAACTAAGATGAAGAATGATACAAGCTGAAGACAGAAAACAGAGGAGTGCTAGGCAGAAAGAAAATGGGAAGATGTGAATATCAAAGGTGGGGTAATGCTTCCTTCAAGGAAATGGATAGCTGAGAGGGACAGGTGCTATGTGAGCCTCTTCTTCCCAAGATTTGCCTTCGGGCCCTCAGGAAAGCCAAGGCCTTGGGAACAGGAGGATCTGCCACCACCTGATCCCAAGCCCAGAGGTGAAGCTGCAGCCACTGAACTCCAGACATTCACATCAAAGCACACGACACAGGAAGGGACACACAGAGGGGCCATGGGGACAGGGGGACAAGGGGACGCCTTTCCACCTCACCTACCCCTTTGTCAGGCATGCACTGGTGGCAGAGTCGCAGAGGTCGGACAGCGTGTGTGTGTGTGTGCGAGGAGAAAGGCAGGGCAGGCTATGACTTCACAAAACCAACAGCTGCCTCCCCTCCCACGTCCTGCTCGCTCCGCATCCCGTCCTGCACGGTGGCCTCCAACCTTCCCCCTCAGGATGCTAGCAAGACCCAGCTCGTCCATTTGCCCAGGCACATCCTGGTGGAGTTAGTTAACGACTGTGGCAGCGGGCCGTGGCACAAGGAGATTGTTTTTTTCCTGGGGTAGCAGAGGTGGCAGAAGCGTGGGCTCCCCGCTGTGGCAGGAGGGTCGGGGAGCCAGCTCTGCTTCTCCCATCTGCATCACAGGTTCACCAGTGGAATTCTGGGGGGAAAAGGGAATTGGAAAAGAATTAAAGGTGGGTGCTTGAGCTGCCCTGGAGCCCCCCTAACCAGTCAGTGCTCTTTTCTCCCAAAGGCCCTCCTCGGAGGGTTGAACTGCCCCGCTCATCCTCAACCTTATGCTCTCTGTGCCTGCCACCCACGGCTCCCTGCTGGACTCACCGGTTGAGCTGGAAGGCGGTGCTTTTCCCATGGCCCCCCAGTTTCTCTACACCCTCCTGCCCCTGCCTGGGTTCCTCCGCTTCAGGGGTGGGTGCTAGGGAGTCACTGTAGGGCCCCAGGATGCTGATGGCAGTGGGGGACAGGTCTGTGAGGGGCTGCTGGCTGTCCTGCTGCCTCCCACCGCTCTGCTGCCCAGAATGGCGCCGGCGCTTCTGATTACGGTCCCAGCTTGGGAGAGAAGAGCAGCAAGATGATAAGTGCCCCTTGCATCCAGGGGTTCAGCACATTCTTCAGCACCCAAGTCCATAGTCCCAGAGCACCATCATGAAACAACATCCATGAATTCCAAGCACCACTTACCAGAACTTGAATATGATCCCAGTGGCAACCAGGACAATGATGATAGAGATGGTGATCGTGACGTACAGTTGGGGATCCACTCCTGCAAGACAAAGGGGACAAGGACAGTGTGGCAGCCACCCTATCAGCCTCCACAAAGCAGCAATTTATTCAGGCTTCCTGCTGGGGCACTGATGGGTTTTGCAGAAAGACCTAAGGGAATAACACAGAGTTGCATCAGGGTAGGTCAGACCGGGCATTAGGAAAAGGTTCTTCACCAGAGAGTGATCAGGCACTGGAACAGGTTCCTCAAGGAAAAGGGAACAGCCCCAGGCTGCTGGAGGACAACACTTTCAAAGAGTTTGAATTTTGGGATGGTCCTGCATGGGGCCAGGAGTGGGACTTGGTAACATCTGTGGGTCCCTTCCAACTTGGGATACACTATGATTCTATGGTTGTAGGCAAGAACGATGCTGGGAGAAGCAACAGGCAGCCTACCTTCACCCCGGGGCCCGAACAGGAAGGGCCGCAGGGTGGCTGGGGTCTCACGCAGATTGAGCCCCGCATTGTGCAGCAGCGAGTGGGAGTTGGGCTGCGCCGTCGCCATCCCACGTGGTGAGACAAAGGTGTAACCCAGTGGTGGGAAGCCGGGGTTGGCCGAGTTGGCATCCCCTCCATCCTCATCTGACACTGTGGGGCCCCACACTATGGCCCAGGGGTACTGGGAGGAAGGCATGCCATCCTCAAAGCCAGAGGGGGTGGCAGGCCTGACTCCTGCTGCTTGGCGTCTCAGCCGCACGGTATGGCGCTGGTCCCCTCCTCGGGGGATCAGGACCCGCTGGCGTGGCGTGGCAAGGCGTGAATCCCACTCCGGCAGTGAGGTCCTGTCCCAGATGCATATGGGCCGGAGGGCCGAGGGGCTGCGACGGGCACAGAGAGGCCGGGCAGCCATGGGGCCACGAGGGCGGAGAGACCAGACGGCGGGTGGAGGAATGGCTGAAACCAGGAGGAGGAAGTGCCATAGCTGCAGGGAGTGGATGGAGGAGACCAGGAAAGGCATCCTGCTGCGGGAGGAGGAAGAACAAGTTACCCAGTTGTCTCTCACGCTAGGAAGGCCCGCTGCATGTGCACCTGTCTCCTTCCCGCATACACAGGGGCTGTGAACCTACCAGGCACCGGGGTCCATCGCAGATGCAGCAACACCTCGTCACACGGCGAGGTCCTGCCTCATGCTGCTCACTGGAAGGCAAGAGAGAGAGGTTAAGTTGTGCCCTCACCTCGTGGCTGTCGCTCTCTGCTCGGCACTGGAAACCCCCAGCCCTGACGGGCAGAGCATGGCACAACATGGCAGTGCATGCAGGTATATCCATCACAGCACTGCTCCCCAACCCACAGAAACACACACAGGGGAGCATGAGCTGCCTCCTGAGCACACGTGTAGAGACACGTGAGCAGCCTCCCGGGAGACACTCCTGTCTGAGGGCCGAGGGGGGGCTCCGGCGCTTTTGTTTGCTTATCACCAGAACAAGTTGGAATCTTAATTCCCGTGTTTATTTATAGTGTGGAGCATGTAATCCATTTATTAAAAAGGAGCCTCTTCATTGTGTGCCGGGGTGAGGGAGCGAGAGGGGAAGCGCACAAGTGATAAACCAGGAAGACTGGGAAAGAGAGAGTGAATCAGCGAGAAAAGTCCAGCATTAGTGAAGAACTTAAGAGCGAAATATGCCTATCAAATATTTAGTATTTACTTTCCTCTTAGCTAAACGGAATTACCTTTCTACACTCCTTGTCCAAGCGTCCTCCGCACCGCACCGCCCCTCCCTTCCTCCGCCAGCTCTCCCATTGCCAGTCACCCATCCGCTGGGGGCAGCGCAGGGCCGGGCGCAGCACCTGGATGGGTTTCGGCACCAGTCCGGCAGCTGCGCTGCCGCCTGCCCTTCATGCCGCTTGCCTCTTCCCTTCAGCGACTGGCGCAGCGCCGGCCCTTCCCCAGTGAGCTGTTATGTACCTGACCCGGGATTCACTCCGCAGCACAGACTTCATGCAGGAAAAATCATTCACGACATTCAGCTTGTCCCTTCACCGTGAAGGGGGAAGCTCGAGCACTGACAACCCCCATTTGTGCCCTCCTGCGGTTCTGGGATGGAGAAAAGAGAGCGCTTGGCCCTGGGAACTCAGGAGGGAGTCATCGTGGAGGCTGAGCATCTCCAGTCCTGCGCCCGCCGCACTGCACCTTGCAGCTCCCAGGGAGCCGCGGCTGTCTCCCTTCTTGGTCCTTGGCAGCCCTGCACCGCAGCCCCTCCCGAGCTGGAAGCCTTTCTCCTGCAGCCTTCCTCGCTGGGCTGGGGGCCCTCGCCCCACCGCGTGCGCCTGAAAAGAGGGGCTGGGAGGAAGAACACCTAAGAAGAGAGCATCTGTCTGGTTCCCACTGCATTAACCCGGGATATTTTTAGTTTTCTTCTGTTAAATATTTAAACAAAGTTCACAGGAAAAAAGGAATTGTCGGCTAATGTGCCCTGCCCTTCCCTCCAGGGCAAGATCTGTCTCTGGAGAGATCCACAGATGAAGATGAGGACAAAAGAGCAGCTATTCTCAGCGTTTCTTTGTACTTTGCTCCTGAACCTCTAAGCCTTAGAAGGGGCTCGTTAAAATGCAGCTCTGTGGAGAAGCAGCAGAATGGAGCAAGTTTCTTCCAAAGCTAGAGACTCCCTCATGCTAGCAAGATCTTGGCCATCTGGATGGTGATCATGATGCTGTGGAGGATCGTGTCTGGCAAGGAAATCTGAGACAGAATTTCCTTTGGACTTGGGAAAGGGAGGGAATTCCAAATGTCAGGAATCTCTCTGTGTGAGTCTGTCAGGCCAGGGTGCATGCAAACCACTGGGCTGCCTTCAGGATGCCACAGCTGGTAATAGACAGCTGTTCCCTCTGGGTGAAAAGACACATTCTGCATGGAATTACCAGTCACAGCACTGGCATCAGGCCGAAGATGTGAATATGGGTAGTGCCACTGCAGAAGTGGAAATTCTCTCCATCTGGAGGTGAACAGCCATGCTAGTCCCACAGGGCAGAGGGGGACACAACTAATAGTGCCAGCACTCCTCCTTGGAGAGCTATGGCACGATATGGGGCACAGCGCCGGCCTGCATTCCCCCCCCCTCACCATGCTCTGTTTGCTCAATGGCACGAGTCACCCAGCTCCAGTCTAGCAGTAGAGACTTCCCTGCACTGCCTGCCTCAGTGAACTCCAGCAAAAGCACCGAGCATTCCCAGGATCTAAAGCCTGAAAACAGGGATCCCTACTATACCCTACAGACCCAAACTGTTCTCGCTTTTGCACCTGGAAACCTAAATTTCAGCCCTAGGAAGCAGGTTGTGGCTGTAACCAGACCTGAGGGCAGGGAGCGAGACCCGCACATCTGCTGTGATGGTGACAGCTGGAAATCAGGTGCAAGGCTCAGACCTAAGGCACTTTTGTAAACAGATCCTGCCACAGACAGTGAAAAGCAAGTGATTTCTTATGCCCTACCCTAAAGGCAGCTCCAGAGGAGTGCAAGACTGAGACAATGTCAGTTGCTGCCAGTCAGTGCATTCTGTTTTGTTCATGATATCGAGGCCAGAGACTCAAGTGTGTGTCCTGGCACGAGCAGAGCAGGCATGTTTGATGAAAGAGCACCAGCATTTCTCCCACATGAGAGCAAAGGGGAAGGAATTCGTGCTGAAATGCCAGCAGCAAGGGCTGGACTCTCCTATGCACTCAGCACTGGTGCTGAGAGCAGGGCATGGATCTCCCTGCAGTGTACCTGCACAGCAGCAGATAAAGCATGTCTGGGGCATTCTGCGTTGAGCTGCTGACAGGGGGAGTTGTGTCCTGAGGACAGACACTGCCATGCTTCAGGGCAAGCACAGCAAATGCCCTTGACTCAGTTTCTATCCTGCTGCTGAAAAGAATAGCAGATCTTTGGGGGGAAGGAGGAAGCTTGAATGCTCTTCCTGCCTGGAGATACAAATCCCAGTGTCTTTGCACCTCACACCATTCAGGTGGTTGTTGTTTGCCAGGGAGACTGGATTTCTGCATCAGCACCACCTGGCACAGTTCCTGCATTCAGCTGTCTCCCAGGTCTAATTGTGATAAAAATGGACAGGGCTGCTTCCAGGGTGAAGAGATGGACCTGTGTGCTTTCACTCTAGGTACAGGGCCTTCATCACCGTGTTCCAGCGTCCTGTTATGCACAGATGACAGAGTGTGAATGACAAAGCTATTTCCCCAGGGCACTTCACTGAGCTCAGTTTGTGAATCTCGGTGCTTGGAAGCAAGGAGTAAGAATTACATTGCTCGTTGCTATTGCATACAGACCCCACTACGGGGTCAGACCGTAGATCTGGAGCCAATCCAGGAGTTGGAGATTAGGAGTTGCTCTGAGTGAATTTGCAGGATGGAAGCCCAAATCATGCTGCTGCTCCCCTAAGCCAGTGATACAGCCAAGCGTCCTCCCTCTGTAAATCTCCTGCAGCCCACAACCACTGCAGCTGGGATGTGAGAGCAGATCTCAGCAGCCCTGCCTCAAAGCACACATGGCAGCTCACCAAGGGAGCTGGGAATGTGCACCCTAACTAGTGCCTGGGAGTGCAACCTGCTGCATGCCAGCTCTGAGCAGGGAGCACAGGTTGAACCGCAGATATGACTCCTGAGTTCTGGAGGACAGATGCCACCGTGCTTGGATGAAGCCCTGAGATTTGCTACGGGCAACTCCTCCATGTCCACAACTCTGGTATGCAGTAGTCCCAAGGAGAAATCCTATTCCAATATAAAAGCTCTCACTGGAATAGAAGAGTGGAGGTGCCAGCCACGTGCAGTACTACCCGTGCTGTAGCTCGCTCACATCAAAAGCAATCTGTAACCTTCTGTTACAAAATACTGAAGTTTGACAAATTCATATGGGGAACAATACTATTAATAAAGAGGGCTACATACTAGAACGGTTTGCCTGAGACTCGGTGAATTCCCTGCTGCCTGAAGCATTTACATGTATTTCTCAAAGAGATGCTCTAGTTCTACCCGAGGCTGTGGGCTTGACACAGGAAATGAAATGGGTGAAATTCTCTGGCCTGTGCAGCACTGTAGATCAGACTGGATGATCAAAATGGTCCCCTGGCCCTAAAATCTGAGAATCTCACAGCTCTCGGTGCTGAGAAGAGATCGACTCTGACCGGGGATGCTGGGTGAGGCTGAGCACACGCAGGACATGCTGGTGACAAGCGGGCAGCCTCCTCCATCTGGGGATGGGAAGGGAGCTGCGCCCACTCCTGCCTGGCTCGGCTGGCAGACGATGATCTATCTGTATTTTTGTAGCATCTCGGGCTCGACTGCTGTGCTACTGTGCCTCTAGGAATGGAGCTGTCTGCTCTCCAAGCGCTCCAGCTAGTTCCAAATGCAGCAGTCTGTTTGCTCAGCCACTCAATCTGTCGGGAATGCATCACCGTGCCTCTCCACACCGCTCTCCTGCGAGAACCGGGTCTGGTTAAGGTCTCCAAGCCGGTATTCAACATGGGATGGGGCCCTGCAACCTAAGCAATCAATCACCTCTACTTATGTAGCGGTGACCTCACGTGACAGATATATTCCAGTGGAACAACAAAATTGCCGACCACTTTGGGGAGCAGGGGAGGGATAGGAGAAGGGAAAAGATGCTTATGGCCCTGAGGAACAGAACAACCACCAGAGGTGGGCCAAGATTATGAAACTTGCTACCAGCTGAAACAGCACTCGCCATTAGCAACCCTGCAGCACCGAGAGCTTCATGCAAATCCTCTCTGTGCCTGGCTCCCCCACGGCAACGATCCCACTCAGAACGGTAATAAAAAATCAAAACAAACCTGAGGGGGACCCAGCCTTGCTCACGGAGGCAGAACGCTGGCTGGCATTTGTAACTCCCAGCCAGCACCCAGGACTATGGTGATAGCTACTGATAGGTAATGGCACTCTGGGACTGTGGAGCCCAGCAGCTTCCTCTGGGCATTGAGCGGAGAGAGTTGGGACACTTGGCAGTGAGATGCTGCAACACCGCTTGTGCCCCAAGCATCCTGCATCTACGTTTTTCTTGGTGGCTGCGAACATCCTGGAGCTTGTGGTCCAAGATGCAGAGCTGCAATCGTTTTGGTAGCAGCAACCATGAGTCTCAGTGCTGGTAAGAAGGGATTCTGCATCCTTCTGGGAGGGAACGGGGAAAAGAAAGGATTCCAGGTCAGCTGCCCTAAGGAAGCAGTCGGTACACTTGAAGGAGCTCAGACCGCTGGAGGTGTGAGGCGAAGTACTGGTGCCCAGCCATGGGAGAAGCTGAGCCCATTTGGGGAGGGATTTCCTGTGTGCTTGTGGGAATGATGGCTCACAGAGCAAGTTGACCTCGGGGCTGGCATTCTGAATGTTGTGGCTCATGTCAGGCTGCTCTGCCTGCTTCCCAACAGGAGATAGGCTGGTGGTAGTGCCGTGGTCCAGCCAGCCTCATGGAGGGGCCTGTGGGCTCACTCAGTGTCAGTGCAGGTCCTGCAGGGCTCAGTGCCAGCTGGCGGGCATACCACTGCTGGGTGCCAGGGCAAGAACCCGTGGGCTGGGCATGGAAATGCTGGGCTAGGGCACACTCCAGGGATGCAGAGTTGATGGTGCCCGTGCATTTGGAAACCTCGGTATCTAGGGAACAGGATTCACTACAGATATCCCTGACAAGCGGTCCTCTGAGCTCAAGTCTTCCTGCATTTGGGAACTGTGAGCATGGCCCCATTCCAGCCAGCACTCTAGGATACCGGTCCCCTGCCATCTAGTGCCTGCCTGCAATACATGTCATGAGTCTGCCAATCTCCTGCCTCCCAGCTTTCTACTGTTCTCAGGCATCCGAGTGCTCCAGGTGCCGTCTCCCCATCCAAGTTGCTCTCTGTGACACGATGCACCCCTGGCCGTGCAGGAGGAGGGATTGACCTCTCCGTTTCTTCTCTCCAGCTGCGCCAATTAGGCTGAAGTCGTCTGGCTCAACGCAGGCTCCGGTGCTCCAGAACAACAGGTCTGTGATGGAGCCCGGGGCTGGAGGGCGAGAGGCAGCAACGCCGCGGCTGTGCCCGCTCCCTCCCGGTCTCTCTGTACCTCCAGCCCGGAGAGGAAAAGGAGGAGCGGCGGGGAAAGAAGACGGCCGGCTGGGAGGGGACGGGTACCTCGATGGGGAGAGGGGAAAGAAGGGAGAAAGGACACGGGGAAGGAGACGGGGAGAGAGGATTCGTGGACGGGCGCACACCGCCCGCCCCTCGCCCTGCGGCCCCGTCCCCATGCCGTGCCCGAGCCCGGAGCGAACTTACCTTGCGGGGAGCCGGGCGGGGCGCAGCCGGGGTGGTGGGGCCGGGGGCAGGAGGAGCACGGCCACTGCCGCCGCTGCCGCTCATGGTCAGGACGAAAGAAGGAGAGCAGGAGAAGGAAGGTTCGGCGAGGCTGAGCCCTGGCTGAGGGAGAGGGAGCGAGAGATGCCTTGAAATAAACAGCTGCCGAGCGCTGGTCCAGCCCCTCTTTCTCTCTCTCCGTCTCCGTCTCTCTCGCTCTCTGCCTCCCGTTAACCCCATGGCTGCTGGCACGGCCGCGGGCCGGCACCGTCGCCCTCGAGCCTGCTGCAGTCCGAGGAGCGCCCTCCCGGGAGGCCCGCCGCCCGGAGCCCCGGTGCCGGGTTTGCAGGGGCACCGCCGGTCCCTCCCCGCCCTCCCCGGCCGCCCCGCCGGACCTGCCCGGGGCTGCTGTCTCTCCGCCGCCGCTGCCCGCTCCGCGCCGCTCCCGTCGTGTCGGTTATTTCGGGATCTTCCCAGGAAGCGATTGGGTTGCTATGGAGAGAGGTGTCTCCAAGGGACCCGCCGCTTCCCTCGGCAGAGCGAACGCCTCCGCCGGACGGCTCCGGCCTCGGGGACCCCTCGGGATCCCCCTCCCCGCCGTGCCCCTGCCGCCTTCGTTCCTCCTTCCCCCGCCCCGCGTCCCCGTCTCGCCGAGCTCCGGGCCCGGGGCCTTAGCCCCGGAGGCCGGCGTGGGACCGGGGGAGCCCCACGGGCAGAGCCGAGGCGCCCACGCGTGGGCCGAGTGGGACACCGGGTGCTGTGGGAGCAAAGCGGGGTCTGCTCCAGCCGCGGGATCGGCCCGCAGGTCCCCGAGCTGTCTGCTGGGGATCGATGGATGCGTCTGGAGATGGCAGGGATGTGGCGGTGAAAGGAGAGAAAAAAGATTGTGTGCCTCGGAGGGGCTGCGTGTTTTGCAGGGAGATTCGCCCTCCACCATCAGCACCATCAGCAGGCACAGGCCAAATCAGGAGGCGGCTGCCAAGCAGCCCTGGGTAGGAGATGAAAGTCGGAGGCATCAAGGCAGCTTCCACTCCAGGGTCTGAAATATGAGGGAGCCAGAAAGCAATTTCCTCAGATCCTCAGAAACAATCAAACTTTTCATCATGAAGTGATGAGGAAAGGCTGTCACTGACCCTGATAAAACAGGAAATAGTACAGATGGCGCTGCTCTATGAAGCAACCTGCCACAGTACCAGGAACAGACACAGGTGACCAAAGGGCACTCAGTACACAGCCCAAGTGCAGCGCGTTGCCTGGAACAGGCTGTGCCACTTTCCGACAGACCTTAGGGCTCTGGGGCTGCTGCCGTCCATCAGACCCTCCGTGAGTTCCCTCCCACACTTGTGAGCAGGACTGTGAACACCTTTCACCCATCAGGTCTTTTGTAAGCCTTTGGAAGCGTCCATGGGATTTTCACATTTGGGACAGTGACTGTGCATGGCTGGATGTGCCTGCACGCCGCTGCTCAGGGTGGTTAGAGGACAGGACAGGACAGGATAGCACTGACTGGAGACTTGTCGTGGTTGGGCTCCAAGGGGAGCCAAAGGCAGAAAGCTCTGGAAGGGGCTACCTCAGCCATACAGGCTCCTTCTGACCTTTTCAAATTATGATGAATGTGTTTAGAATAATTGGGAAGCACAAAACAGTTGAGAAAATTCAACCAGGGAAAGGTCAGTTAAAGGGCGAAAATCAAAATGACGTAAACACTAAAAATCCCCCTGAAGAGCAAAACTGCAGAAGGAAGCCAGAGGCAGGAAAGAGAAGGAGGAGGAGGAAGATGCTGTAGGGATCAAGGAAACCCTGGGAGGTGTGAGAGAAGTCAGGAAAGGAATTGGGGCAACGCGAACAGCAAGTGCAGGAGCTGATGTCATGCTTACATCACTCTCACCTGACATAAAGGGAAAGGCAAGCTTCTCTGGGAGCATGGGTCTGGAAAAGCAGAGTGACAAAAGGAGGCACTTGGGATGGGCTGAAAGAAACAACAGGGACATTTGAGTGAAGAGCTGCATCGGGTGGGCTGCTGGAGCTGCAGGTGGATGGCTGTGAAAAGAGAAGATGAGAGATATATTAAGAAGGAAGTGTTATTCTGAGGGTGTTCGAGTGAAGGTGATGTGAAGACAAAATGAAGATGGAAATGTGAAAACTCCCTCTGCTGTGTATTTGGCCAAGATTTGGACCAGGATCGATAGTGTACCTTCTGCACCATCGCACCTAGAAAGATGGAAGGCTGTTATTTCTGCCTGGCACGCTCATCACGTAGAGGTTATTTACACCAGTCCTGAGGCCAAGTGGACCTCTGCTGCTCTGATTTAGCTATGTGTCCTGAGGGCAGTGAGGCTCCTGCAGTTGCTCTGCTGTCCATCAGTCCATCAGCTCATCTTCAGTTGCCATGGGCCGCATTCAGCTGGGCTTGACAAATGAAGCAGAGTCTGAAAGGTAAATAAGCTCCAATAAGTTGTATGAGAGAGAGCCAGCAGTCAGACAAAGATGCTGCTGGTGACTGTGCTGGAGGAGACCCCATGGCCATGCTGCTGGGCAAAACCCTGCTGGGCAGAGCAGTCTGGCCAGCAAGCTGAAATAAATTGAGCAGAAAATACTGAGGAAGCTGTGTGTGCTAGAGAGTGGTGAAGGAGGAGCCCAAGGCATTGGCTACAGGCAAGGGGAAAGGACTTGCAACTGTGGCACATTGCAGAAAGGATGTCATCAAGGTACCTCGGCTGATGGCATGGCAAGTATAAAATACAGGCAACAGATCCTTAGAGAAGCCAGGTTCCTCAGTCCTATTCTCGAAAAACAACTTGTTAATAAGTTCTGGAATTTCAGAGATGTCCCAGAAGACTGGAGAAGAGCAGTGCTGTGCTGGTGTTTGTAAAGAGCAAACAGAAGACCTGAAAATTTCTAGGCAAAGCAAGAGAAGAGCTGATATGAGATTCTTCAGCTAATGCCAGTCAGCCTGATTTGAAGGAGACTGATCTTGCTGCATAAACTTGTTTTGTTCTTGTCAGTCTTTGATGTGACTTCAGGTTTATTTGGAATAGGTGATGGCTTAGATCTATTTAGGCTTCTGGAAGCATTAATATCCCAAAACAATCTGGTGAGGAAAAAACAGCCTTACACAATATTAACAGAGCAGGAGATTAAGTGGACCAGTTAACTGTGTTGAACCAAATGCAAAGGGCCCACGTCTGAAAGCCCCTCACCGAGTGACAGTTTCTGATGTGGATGCCCAAGTATGAGTCCTTGGTCCGGTGTAAGTCACTATTTAATTCAGTGCTTGGTGAGCAGATATGTTTTATTCTGATAGTTTGCTGAAGACACGAATATTGTTAGTATTAAAAATAACGAGGGTAGGGCCAGTGCAGAATGACCTGTTGCATTGGTAAGGTGGTCACTCTCCTAAAACTTCTTGTAAGACAGATGAGAGCAAATTGTACAGCTGTGAAAAGGAAAAGATGTCCACGAAGTAGATAAGACTATGTCTACAGTGAGCAACTTTCAGTACTGAAAAAAAGGTATCTTAAAAGGAATCAGACAGAAAACAAACAAACAAAAACCAACACCAGCACAGTCTCTGTGGACAATACTGCAGAAGTGCCTGGCTGTGCAAAGACAAGAGTGAGAAGAAGAAGGGAGATGATCAGGCCTCTCTGTGCTGAAGTCCATGCTTTAAAAATAACTCTGAATCAAAGACGATCTGAAGGCTAGAGATCTCAGTAATTTAAAGAGGTCAACCTGTTTAACTTATCAAAAAGCAGAAAGAGACATGACCTGACTACAGCATGACTTCCTTCCTGGGGAAAAGCATACCAGGTATTCTGGCAGAGAATAAACGAGAGCCAGTCACTGGGCAATGCCTAATCACAGACACAGGCCATCATGTGAGGTGAAAGTTCCTCTCTTCTGGAGAATCATGATTGGAGGCTGTCTGAAAAAAAGAGTTCCTCATCTGCAAATTCCCAGGGGAATTAAGAGAGTGCATGGGAATAAGAATTACTGTGCAGCCACCGTCCTCTTAAACTCCTTTATAAGCAATAGATGTCAGGCTGCCCTAGATGTAATTAGGCACAGGTCTTACCACTCTGTGTATTAACCTAGTACAAGTTATAGGGTTAAAAATCTTCCTGATCTTGTTGCGTGCCAAAGAGATTTGCCCCATTCTTACAAGCTCTTTGCCTAAGAGTCTGTGCCACTTGCACAGAGTTGTGAAAAATCATCTCAGAAGATGTGACCATGTTTGGAGAAGGGCTAGAGAACAAATATTGTCAGCATATTGACAAGTCATTTTGATTTTGCAGTGGTAAAGAGAGAAGCCACTTAGAACAATACAGTATGACTCTGCAGACCCTGCAGGCTCTAAAGTGGGGCAGTGGGTACAGGGGAAAGAAGGTGGATCTACAGCAGGAAAAGAATGGTACTTTCATTCTGGGAAGAGGGGGGTAAAGGGAGAGGTAGCTGCAGAGAGGACTACAAATCCCCAACACTCAGAAATAATAACCCACAACCTCCAGATATTATGAGATTCATCTTAAAATTTGGAAACGCTGTAAAGGCTTGTGTTCATCTGCACTCCTACTTTTGACCCCTAACGTTTGACTCAGGTTACACAGACATCTCATTTCACAGTTACCCTGTAATGTTAAGATAGGCATTCAAGAATTTGTAACAGAATGAAATCATGGGACTTAGAGACTCCAAAAATCCGAAATTTAATCTCAACATCTGTTGTTCTGATCTAGGGATGAGGCAAAGGCTTTGCTAAGTTACGGGTAAGATACCGTGCGCTCACATTGCCCACAAGACGATGGCCTTCTCATTTAGAGAGCTCAGGGTGTGATTCATTCCTTGCCCTTGTTTTAGCTCCGTGCAGGACAAAGGAGAAGAAAAATTGTGGTGACCCTGCAAAGAGCACACAGGACCTGGGGTCAG